TGAAACACAGAGAATGGCAGTTGTGATATTAACTAATACAGAGTTCCCTTCTCCCCTTTCACATGGTAAAACCCTGGATTTTTCTACACAGATAAACACTGAAGTAATTTAAGTCTTGTGTCATTCATATATTTAACATTAATTTTTCTTAAGTTATTATTAAAAAATAAAACAATCAAATTTAATCATCATTAATTCAATCATTAAAACCATTTCCAAGACAAGCAATCTATATGTCACACCATGCCTTTCTATAAAGGCAGGAAGAATACTCACTATGCTGCTATATACTACCCGTGTCTACAAAATGTCCTAAGGATTGACATTTTAAAGCGTCAGCCTGATCTGAAATCTTTGATTTTTGGAATAAATTCTGAACTTGCTACTCTACAAGAGTCTTACCTTCCTTTTTTAACAGATAACTGAGTAATACATCCTCAAAGTTCAAACAATTCTCATAGGAAAGTGCTTTCCAGCCTGTGGATGCAAGTTGCCATGGCAACAGCCACAGTGACTACAAAGGCTCTAACCTTATTTAATGAATAAAATGGGGGAAAAATATCATGAGATACTATAAGAAAAACCCTGTATTATAAATCCTCTGGGAAAAAATAAAGAAAGCAAAGGACTCCTCTTCCCATTTAAAGATGCCTGGGCAGGCAAAAAAAGCCTCAAGTTTACCATCAAGCCTTATGTCATTACGTTTCAGAAATGCTGTGACTCTGCTTTTCTTGTGCCTTTCTTTGGCTTACAGATAGGTAAAAGACTGGAAATGAGCTGTTTAGTACCTAAGGATAATGGGTGTTACCTATGTGAAGCAGCAGCAGCAAGCAGAACAGGAGGATAAAATACAGTAGGGAAAACGGTAGTGAAGAAAAGGATGAATTCGGCCATAACAGTCTAAAAATAGATTTGCTTCAAAGGAAGCACAGAGAGCAGAAAGGATCTACAGAACAAAGAGCTCCATCTAGAGGTTAAAACCAAGAGATATTAAAGCAAGCTTACAGGTAAAAGGTTCGCAAGACTTAAACATATGCACTAAAACAGTCTGCAAAATCTCCCAGTTAAAATTAAAAAATGGCTTCAAAACACATCATGTAAAAGTCACCCAATCTTTGAGAACCTAAACGGGCTCCAAGAAAAACAAACTGAAGACAAATCCTGAGATGAACAGAATCAAGACCTGCCCATTCACACCTTAAATCTTCTTGCATTTCTGTGACATTCTCAGGACAAATCCTCAGGGAAGTCAGTGCATTTTGCCAGTTTTCAGCATAATCAAGACTTCCCCCACCACAGAACGTGAACCAAAGAAGTCAGTGTTCCTGCATCACTTCAACAGAAGTGCAGACCCATGTTCAATAATGAACGGTCCAAGAAGGAAAACTTCCTGTACTTGCAACACCGTTCAGGCCCTGATCATTCATACTATTTCTTATTCATCTTATTTCTGCAAGAATCAGAATGCTCCTGGAAGTTGCTGTATGCTCCAGAGCAAACTCTATTTTGCATGTCATCTTTCAAAATAATTCATCAATCATGTTTTATGTCAGCAGGGAAACAATTACTCTGTGTTTTAAGACAAAATCCAGGCTTCAGCACTCTGCTTAAGAAACCACATCAGGCTTGGGTAAAAGAGGCAGGATGGGAAGGAACCAAACCCACTGCCTGCATTGACAAACACCCCACTGCATCTGCAACAGTGGATAAGCAGCCTCTGGCTGCCTTCCCACACTAATCCCTCAGTTATAACCCAATAAAGTTGTATTTGGCTACCCAGGACTCTCCAAAGGTCACCAGTTACCTGGCCAGCAGAACAGATCTTCTCTAACATGCTCTCACTTCAGTAGAGAGCTATAAGTATGGGTGGATAGTCATACCTCCAGCTCTTCCTGCTTTAAACCTTATTTTCTCCACTTTACACTAGTTTTGGTCATGCTCTATCTAAACTCCACACATTACAATAACGTGTAAAATCACCAGGAATATCCACATGATCCCTCCCAGGCTGTATTTTACCTTGCAGCCTGCAAAAAATCCTTTCATCTAAAGGCATTGTTTCTTGAGCCTGTACTGCTTCATAGCTGCACCTCACAATGCAAGCTGTGACAGGAAACAGAATTAAAAAGACCAGAAAACAAGAAGCAAGGGGCTGCAGCTGGAAAACCGTTGGGTTAGAGCTGCCGCACCACTGCTCCAGAACAAAGGCCTTCTTTGTTATTCACTCCATGCTTCTGGGAACATTGAATTCCCTCATGGTGTTTTTCCCACTTTTTTTTTTTTTTACACTTTTCCTGTCTTTATCCTCCTTCTCAAACACTTACCCCCCTTTTCCTCCCTCCTACATTGCTTTTTTCTATTTACCTGTTGTAGAGCTATATTTACTAATAGCATTCCTACTCTCTATTTACATTCTTGATTCTATTTAGCATCATGAAAGGATAAACACTGTTTATGACAGACTAAACCACCCCTTCCACACAGCCCACACCCCCCCAAAATACTAGCATTAACAAGCCAGAAACAGTGAAACAACTGGTAAATCATTCTATTACCATTAGTAAGTGATTTTTAAAAGCCCAAGCGCTACACCTCTGAAGAACAGCCCATTTTTGTGCCTGAAGTTTAGTTTAGAAACTGAGGCAAGTGTGAAAACACGTATCCAAAGGACACTGCACAAACTGTTCTTGAGAGATTTCTACAAGGTAACACATTAATTCCCCTATTTGAAATAGCTCTCACCAGGGCCCTTGCTTGAAATACTCTGCAATATTGACCCATGGGCTGTATTTCCCTGAAAAGTGTTTCACTTCTTTGAACACACAATCTCTGATTTGTTAAGAAGTGTCACACACACAGTCTCTTCAGTTCTGACTACCCAACAAATCCAAACCAGAGCATGTACAGAAGTTGCTGCCAGAATTTCCTCCTGATTCTTTATCACAGTTTGAACAGAAATGTATGTTTAGGATTACTAGTCTGTATTCATTTGCCACAGCAGAAGCAAGCCTCATTCTGTATTTAATATAGCATTTTAAATAACACATTATGAATTCCTGGGAAGCATGACTGAGCATTACAAAAACAACGCTGCAAGCTCTGGAATAAACTTCAAAAATTCAACCCTGTTTTGAACTCTTCCTAACATGTACTAGCAGAGAGAAGTAAGGGCCTTCAAAGTAGCTGTTCAGACACAACAGCTCCCTTTTCACGTGGAAGTTCACCTATTTAACGCCCAAAATAAACTCACTACCTTTCCAATGTACTGAAGCACATACAGGGAGCAAGGAAACGTGAGCTCTTCTTGCTCCATTTCTCCTGTTTTCAACTTCAGCATCCCCCATTTAATCATCTGTATCTCAAGGCATACTTCAAAATCATACTTCAACATTGTGACATTCTTCCCACATCAAAAGAAAACACTGATTTCCAACATGAAATGAAGCAGCAGCAACTAAACCCAACTTTTTTTTTCTCTGAATATCAAACAGTGTACATCAAAAGTGTTAACACTTTGTCACAATCCACCTTGTTGACCCTACTTTGGATTGTGTAACAGTGAAAAATAAACCCTTCTATTTCCTTTTGGTATAGTCTGTATGCCAACACACCTCTGGGCATAAGCCTAGTCTCGTTTAACTTTGCAGCTCTTCTGCGAGATCCCCTATTACACACACAGATTTTGTGTTGGGGTAAGCACAGTTTCCATTCAATCCCATTGACACAAACAGGAAAGGGAAAAGGATGGATGATAACACTGTTCTGCAGCAATCCTAGTTCATGCAAACACAAGAACTACCAGGAGCTAAGCTGTGCTTTCACTTGAACCTGCTTAATGAGAATAAATCAACTGACTAGAAAGTTTTATATTCAAAGCACTCCAACAAAAAGAAACCAGATCCAGATTTCTCACGTGTTCGTCTTCAGTGTTCTAAATTAACTAGAGAGATGGCACCAAGATACCGAATTCACACACTATTTAGATGAGGCTATTAAAGTTCTTCCAGAAAGTATAAACTTGATCTAGGAAAACAACTGATATTTCTCTGGCTTTGTAAATGTTTTGCAGCCAAAGATAAGCAACCTAATGCTAAGCTCAAAACCAAAGAAAATTAGTACAAATGCATCTGTCACATTATATAATCATATACAAATCTCTTCACCAGAAAGCATAACACTATTTTCTCTGCAGAAAGCCAACTTCACATTAGTCAAGTTCAGTTTTGAAGCAATTCCTTTATCAGAACTGGCAGAATTTGCCCCCCCCCCCCATAAAGCTCGACACAGGGAAGTTTTACCATCACTCATTCTTTGCTGACAGAAACCACTGAAGGAATTTTAAAAGACTCCAAACAATCTCCCTATACACACTTGCAAAAACTGACAGTCAGAAGCCACTGAACTTGGCTTTGTATTTTTCCAGGCATCATTTCCATAGAGTTATAGCTTTAAGCTTTTGGAAACTGGCAATAAACAAAATCATTAACTATTCTTTCAGAGACACCAAAGCATTTCAAACTTTATTTCCAGGTGATAGACTACAGACCCTTGCTGCAGTGTGTATTTTAGATTCATATTTTTAAGTCAGAAAAAAAAAAATCATATTTGAACAGAGTTTCCTTTAAACTGATTTAAGTAAAGAAGTTCTCACTCTGTTCCTTACCAGAGAAGTAATGAAGAATTAAAAATGAGGTCTTTGCTCACTTGTATCAATAAAAGCTTTTTTTCTTCTTTTCACAGGAAAAGAGCATATTAGGGGAATACTCTGAAACCACATGACATTAGAAATTAAAACTGGCAGATGCTACACACCATTTTTGAGGCTTAAAGACATTTTGTACGGCTTAAAAAAGAACGCATCTCTTTAACTCTTCAAAACTAAAACTGATGATTCAAAGTGCTGTTAAACTACTGACATATGGCTCTACTTGTCACTTTGTATTAAAAATGCTGCTGTATGTGACTATGGTGAGACTAGGAAAAACCACAAAAATACTTACATTGCATTTACCTTATCTTCTGGGCCCTGAACTTGGCCTGTTACAGTTCCTTGACTGGTATTTTTAACCCAGCCAACCACTCCTAACTTCGCCGCTTCCTGTTCCGTGTACTGATTCACAAAATAATGAAAGAGGACAGTCAGTGTCAGCACATACACCACACATATATCACTTAAACCCCCACTTTCATAGCTCATTTTCACAGCTTTAAGACCTACACTTAAAAATCCACGATGATCATACTGAGGCATTAAGATGCTCCTGTCAGCTCTGAAGTTGCAGCAGAAGCAGCCAACTTTTGAACAAGAATGAGGTTTCACATATACATAAGAAATGTGAGTTAATTCCCACTTCCATTTTCACAGCTTTAAATACTTCTATTCAAAAAAAGAAATATACACATGATGGCTCCCACCAAGACATCACACTGCTCACAAAAGTCATCTTCCTCTATCACAGGTACATGCATACAAACCTCCTGATGGTGTGAGGCTTTCTTTCTTTACAGAGGCTGAAGTCTTGCTCCCTTATTTAGAAACTTTCAACAGTTTTGATCACAAAGAACTCTATTAATAGCACACTACTACCTTGTACCTACTCTATTCCTTTCTTTAGTTCCTATCACTGCTCATTTTCCTCTTCAACAATTACAGTGTCTAAACTCATTAAATTGGCTACATGAATAAACCTCAGTTTTTCTCCAGTTTTATTTTAAATCTTTTCCCCTTTAAAATTCTGCCCCAGCTGCTGCACTACTAAGAAAAATAAGGTCATAATTATATTGGTTTTCTAGTATTTTTGCAATACCACAACAAATTAGAATCATTTGCCCAGCTATTCACTTCTTGTGATAAAAGCAGGAACTTCCAAGTACATTGCTTTTTGAGGTGTGGGCTGGGTTTTTTTGTGGCAATACCCAAAACAGCACACAGATACCAGATGTGCATTATCAGCCTGTTTAGACACCAGTTCTAATGCCAACAGCCAAGCTTCAGGTTAATATGATTACATTTGAAAAGGCAAAACAAATTTCAGGGTAATTTAGCCAATGAAAAGGCATTACTAATTATGAAGAGCATTTTTCAAGAGGATTATGAGCAGTTTGTCCATGCTAACTTGTCCAAAAGCAACTTTTAGGTCTTACATTAAGTGGAGTCCGCTATTCCCAGATAACAAGCTGTTCCTATTGGAAATGTGCCTTCTTGTTTCTTAGGTTCCTGTGAAATTCAAAACTACCTGCTGCACATTCAGAGCTGGAGGAGATATTCAGCTGGAATACGAGCCACAGACTGCGTGCTTGTAGTACACCATTACCAGGAAACACAATGAGTTTCTTAAATACAAGAATGATAATTGCAATTTAAAAAGATTAAATTGGAATACATTTTTTCAGAAGCCAGCATCAAGAATTTCAGGCTTAACCTTTCCAAAGATTAACTTGTTATAACGTCCTTGTGGCCGCACTGTCACAAGAAACCCAAACACAACCTTTAGATACTGTACAAACAAGCAACACGCTTAGTAACCTTTTAAAAATCCATTTTAATGTAACAGTAATAGAAAACAAACGTATTTTTCCCCCTTTAAACCCACTTACACTACTCAGCCTTCTGACCTAGAACTCAAAAGTTCAGCTTGGATATATTTACACTCTACCGACCTGCTGCTGTATTTTTAGCACTGGAAATACTATACTGTAAAGTAGAGCTGGTAAATCAGACATTGCCTTACCATCCTGAAACAAACACCTGGAAAGGAAGGAAAAACACAGTAAAACAGTTTGAAGGAATGCCACTTTCGGGAATTTCGCTTCATATGTATGTATTTTATTGTACATCTAAGTCACCTGCGGTCATTTCTCACAGAAGTTTTAAGGAGGAGTTACTGAATTTTAACATTGGACAAAGTCTATGGAGTTTGGGTACAAGCTGGCCTTGAGCCTCCCCCCCTCGGCGAACGACTACTTCCATTAGAGCAGACAGCACATGCAGCTTTAACGAAGACGTTAAAGAAATCGCCTTTGACTTCATTTTCACCTAAGTTTTGGTGCCTAAGCCGGGAGGCGGCGGCATTCCCACATAACCGCGCTGACAGAAGGTGCTTTAGGGCAGACCGGCCTGTGCTCTGCATGGAACCGGGGAACCTCACACTGGGGACACATTCACCCCTCATTCCACCGCCACCTCGGCGCATGCGCGGCTCCCGGCGCCCCTCACCGCCCGCCCATTGTCCCGTCCCCGTCTCTTCACCTTGCACTCGCCCGAACACTTCGTAATCCACCGACTTGAGCGCGCCGGAGGCCTTGGCCACGGCGGACATGGCAGCCGCGCCGCCGGGAACAGCCGCTGCTCGCTGCGCTCCGGACCGCGGCCGAGCTACGGCACCCGGACGGGAGCGCGCAAGGCTCAAGCTTCCCGCGTTCGCGGCCGCCTCACGCCTAAGGGGGCGGTGTGGGGGGGCATGAACCCCACACACAAACACACCGGGGCGGTCTGTGAGGGACGCGGCCCCGCAGCGCTGAGGGGACAGCAGGCAAAGGCGGCGTGTCCTGAGGAGCAGCGGGCCCTGTAGAGCCGTGAAGGCGGTGTACCTCTTGTATTTGAGGTCAGAACAGCGTCAAGAGAGGAAGGGTTCGGACGAGGCTGCCTCCTCGTTGAGGGCCGCAGCAGTAGGCGTCTGCGCCCAGCTGTGCTTCCCCATCTCAGGCATCAGGTAACCAGCCAGGGATATACAGGGATTATTAAAACACGAAATATTTCACATACGTGGCTGAACTGAGGTAATTTTGACTGATAAAGCGGAAAGTTAAGCAGTTGAAAGCTAAAACGTACAGGAAAAGCAGGGCCAGCGAGAGGCTGGGTTCCTCATCTGGCACGGCATGAGGCGAGATGCAAGCTCACCTCCTGCAAGCTGTTCAGCAAACCTTCAGTGGTACCTATTAGTGCTCCTGTTTTCATTAGCAAGCCTTCCCAGAAGCATTGACATGTAATTTCTTTTGTGAAGATGCTACATGTGCAAAAATACAGAGCAGAAATTGGTTGTTCAATGGGCGGAGTCTCCAACCAACCACCACAGAGATCTTTCTTTACGTTTTCTGTCTGCTTGCAGTTTAATCCCCCCTCGTTTGCCTTTCCTGAAACATCCAAGTGTTTTCAGGCAGAATCCTACAACTTATAACCAACTTCAGAGGATGAGCTCAGCCTGCCCTTACCAACACAACAGCAGGTGAACTGTGACTTTACACTAAAAGTCATTTGCTGTCTCCATTAGGCAATTCCCTCCCACACACCACTTCATGTCCTAGCAGTAATGCAGCATAACCCTTTGGTTAACTTAAGGGTTGCTTATCTGCTTGGATCTCAAAACAAGAGGGCTGTTAATAGATATCAAAACATGAAATTGTTTTCCTGAGCACATCAGTTAACGAGGGAAACAACATTCAAGCCAGGGCAGAACAAAACTACTCAGAAGATTTCCAGTACCACAGGGAACAGGAAGAGAATGGACAAAGTTTCATCGTTTGCTTTAACTGCACAGCCTTTGCCTTGGCAGGGATTATACATTTTGCTAGTGGTGCATCAGCACCATTTTGTTTTTGAGGAGGAGGATTCTACAGAAAGAGGAGCGGAAAGCAGCAAAGACGGAAAGTCCTCTGTCATTTGCTGCCATCTATCAGCAGTGAAGAGCAAGACAGGTAAAAAATAAACGTACAATAGAGCCTATTTACAGTACAAAGCATTGTAACACAAGCCTTTAAACCAGAGCTTGTTCTGGTATGATTACACTGTCCTATGTGCAGATTCCAGGGCTGGCAATGTCAACCTTTGTTTTAGCAGAGAATCTTTGACGTTTCAAGTTGAGTTCTCAATGTCACTCAGGTCTCCTCCTTTCTGCACTGGCTTTTTCTCAGCATGGGGACCCATTCCTGTGCCTGTCTTTGAGAGCTTCCAGGCTCAGAGATACTCTCATCTCCTGGCTTCCTATTGTTATTGTCCTTTTTCTGACAAGTCTGTTTAAGATTTTTTCCTTTGTTTGCCATAAGAACCTTTTGCCACTCTCCCTACACAAATCTGAGTTTTTCATTATTTTCACCATACAGAGCCTGAAGAACTCCAGAAGATGAAACTCCATGAAACATCTAATACTTTACAGTCAAAGTAATCAGTATTAGTTATCAAACAATATTCAAATACCCCAAGTAACAAGAGAGCTTTATCATATACTATCACTAAATGGTTTGTGTTGGAAGGGAGCTTAAAACTCACCCAGTTCCAACCCCTGCCACAGGCAGGGACACCTTCCATTAGAGCAGCTTGATCCAAGCGCCTGTGCCCAACCTGGCCTCAAACACTGCCAGGGATGGGGCAGCCACAGCTTCTCTGGGCACCCTGTGCCAGCGCCTCAGCACCCTCACAGGGAAGAGCTTCTGCCTAAGAGCTCATCTCAGTCTCCCCTTGGGCAGGTTCAAGCCATTCCCCTTGGCCTGTCCTTGCAGGCCCTTTTCCAAAGCCCCTCTCCAGATTTCCTGCAGCCCCTTTAGGCACTGGAGCTGCTCTAAGGTCTCCCTTTAAAGAGCCTTCTCTTCTCCAGGCTGAACCAGCCCAGCTCTCTCAGCCTGTCTATCAAGACATGTAGACACTCTCTGTGAAATCAATGAAGTTTACCCCATTTTCAGCTGGTTACTCGGGGGAAGGGGGGGAGGGCGGCTAAGAATTGGCTGGTTGCACATCCTAAAGCTACAGGCAATTGTAACAAATGCTGAACACCTACCTCTGTCAAGGCATAAGATATATTCTTTGATTATACTGCAGAGGAATGCAAATGACTAAGAACATTTCCTGCAACAAACCTTTAGAATGAACTTGAGTATGAACAAAAAAACGTAATGCCATAAGATCTGTATATCATCTGAAGATGAAATAGTCTTTCATACTGCTGCCAGCTTTGCTATAACCACATGTTGGATTCAGTTTGCTACTGAGTAAATATAGGTGACCCTTTTTATTACTAAAACAAAGCAGCAACAGTCATGATTAATACCTGAGTGAGACATTCAAGACTGCAGTGAATGAATTTGTGATGATCATTATGGTGCCAGTTTGTTCTGGCCTGTGGTATGCTCACAGCAATCCCCTTTTTAAGATTCATCTCCTATTTCACCATCCTAATTTCACTTTTCTGATCACTACATATCCTTATTAATTCATGAATGTGCTAGCCAACTTTTGTTCCTCTGTCTCCTTCAGAAGTCATTGTTTCGTGTTCATACAGATTGGCTTCTACTACCAGCATAGTGTTACCTAGGAACAACTATTACTACAACTTAAGCTTTCACAGAAGGGCTTCTTTATTCTGAAGGCTGCTTAGAAAGGTGCTTTATTTGGCAAGTTTCTTGAAATTGGGGAAAACTCTATTGTTAATAGGGCCAATATGACCACTGCCTCTACTAGGTCATCTGCCTCTACTCTGAGCAGTAACCCTTTAAGAAATCCTCCCAGTACTTGCTCCAAGTGAGGAAAAGTTTTCCCACTACTCTGTTTTTAATCATAACATAAAGAAAGGATATATTTAAGAATATTATTGTTTGAAAACACCAAGAACCTACTACATTGCAGCCAAACATCAGGGAACAGCACAACTGCTGCTACAAAAGGAGACAAGGGTGGCCCTAACACTTAAGTGACACAGTCACAGAGTACCTGAGCAGGGCCAGCAGAGCCAAGCGCTAGTAGCGGGATCCATCCAGAAGCAGCAGAAACCTGGAAACACAGCTACAACATAGAAATAAGAGGTATCCTAGAGATAAGGCTGAAGACAGAGCTGAAGATTAATTCACCTATGATTTATGAGAAATGAATGTGCTCAGCCCTGAGCTTAAATGGAGTTCTGGAGCAAGGAGCTGAGGGGGTGTGGTTGGGTCCCAGGTGGGGCTGGTCAGGGCAGTTAGAGCTATTGATGCCCTTGACACTGACCACTATCAATAACAACTGTTTGATAAAAGAATCTATTATTTATCAAGCTTTTGTTTTGGTTGTTAAAGTTATTTTGAAAGTTGTAGCTTCATTATTTATCCTTTTGTTCATCTCTGGCACAGAATAGTTGGAGAAGCATTAAAACCTTATTTCCCTTCAATACTTACCACTACTCCTGCCTTCTTTCTGCGTGGCTGTCACCTCACACCCCCATATCCACTCAAGGTTTTCCACTCCTAAAGCTACTATCTTTAGCGTACACACAATATCCCATCAGGCACATAACCTCCCACCTCACTGTCTTAATTCATCCCTCAGCTTGTAACTATGCTGCTATTTTTCTGCACCATTTTAATTTAAATGGATCCTCCTCAGTCCTGTCTGTGGTTTGCATTTCTGCCCTCCTGCTACCTTTTTGTAGAGTTTCTTACACAATCTACAAACTGTTAACATTCCAGCCTTTTCTTTGGCATTCTGGATCTCTCACCATCAACTTCCTAGCTGATATCTTCAGTTGTATATTTTCTTAAAAATTTTTAATATTTGGGCACTCTGTTTTATCACTCTGTTTATCTGAACTAAGCTCTAAACCTGATTCACTTGTTGGTCCCCAGCTGATTTTGATGAGTGATTTCCAAAGGATGCCAAAGCCTCTAGATACAAAGAGCTACTGCTGTTGTTGCCTGGTTATTGCTGTTACCTAGGGAGCACTGAGCACCCAGGAAGAGGGTTAGAAGCTATGAAAGCTTAGCTTGTCTTTTCTAGCTTCTCTTCTTGCTTGTTTTCCATCAAATGCAATATGTATTTGTCTCTGGGTTTTATTCTTTAAAATAATGCCCTGTCCTTCCTTTATGCTTGCTTCTTCAAGCAAAATTGCTCTCTACTTTTTTTCACTGGCCTTCCTCTTTCCCTTGTTCCCTTATCACAGTTTCTTTTCATAAATTGTATTCACGCTCATTACTTTACTTCTGAATAAAAAGTAATAGGATTTCCATTTTTACACCAATTGTTTCATGCTTGTACAAACTTCTTCAGGGTCTTTATTTTGTTGTCTCATTTAAATTGTATCTAAATATACAAAAACTTTTTGAAGGTTTAATGTTGACCAACTGTTCAGTAAGATATGCCCTTGCTTCATCCTGTCAGTAGCTGTTGTATTTTCCTTCGCTGTAAAGATGAGATTTAGAACCCTGAAGGACAAGACAGGCACACAGTGGGATTCTTGAAGTGCCTTAGCCTGCCTTCTTCAGTACAAGATGTAAAACAATGGTTTGTTGCAAAACTAACAAATGGAAATGTTCTAATCATGCAGAAATAAATGCTAAATAACTTTCATTCCCTAAACTGTAGCAAAGACAGTGAAGGGTTTCTAACCTGTAAGGGGTTTGCCAGGGCCATTACCAATAGCCATAAGCAGCTGCTTTAGAGGAAATTAAAAATCAAGTGGAGTGGTTGTTAAAGTGTCAACTGAAGTAAAGATTTAAGCTTTAGATACTTTCCATACAGTATATTCATATACTATAGAGAGTCTAAGCCCTCTGCAGAAAAGTGTAGGAAAAAGGGTGTGTGTGGAGAGAGAGCATTTAGATACAAGTTAACAAGCCAAAAAAGCAAAGTAGTGTTTGGCAAAAACCAAAGTCTCATGTTAAAATAGAACACCACAGGAGGAAACAGTTTTCTTTAGCTGCATCATAAATGCAAAATTACTTTGTACTGTAGAACTGCAAAACTTGAAAATCAAGCATGTAAATTTTAGAGAATCTTAGAGAATGAGCTACCTGGTTACTTATATTGTAATTATACAATGTGTATACAATAGTGTAACCTAGAGAAAAGTGTTAACTGAATGGTTGAAAAAACTACTGTGTTCAGTTTTGGAAGAGGAAAAATACAGATGAAAGATTGCTGAAGTAATAATGCATGGACAAAAATCACAATTGTAGAACATTTGCTTGCTGGTTGACTGACTAAATACATTATAGACGTATCAACGGGACACCCATCACACAGGCAGGTGACTTGGCTACACCATTTGTTTCCTGACCCAACTCCAGCAATGTGACTGATGTGGGAGGACCCCACACCTGTGCCAAGGCCCACTGCAGCAAGTGCAGTGTTGTGCGTAGGAGGGGTCATGCCCACACACATCACATTGCAGGACTACAGCCAAACCTTGCATGGATGGCACCTAAATTTGTCCCTCTCATGCTCTATAATCCTGGGCTGCTTATATAAAGGAGCTCAAGTTATATGGTGACAGATATGAAACTGTGAGCTAACAAACATGTAAAAGCAATGTGAGTCAGGAAGAAGTTGATTCTGCATGCAAACAGTGTTAAAGTTCCTCAACTTAGCAAGCAGCTCTTTTGGAGTTGTCGTGATCTCTGTTTTACCTGAATTATCATTTATCAAATTGAAATGTCATGTTCCCTGAGGTTTTACTGGAGACACCAGTGAGGTCCAAAGAACAGAAAGTGCAGAGGGACTGGGGCTCAGTGAAGAAGGGGAGCCCAGGCCTCCTTCTTACAGTTAGAGGGAGCACATGAGAAGTCTTAGTCACGTAGCTTGATACGAGAGCAGGAAATTTATCTGACATTTTATTAAGTATCCATTCACAGAAAAGTCATTAAAATTTGGGGAAATACATTGACTGAGCTGCTGGTGCTGATTATATTTTCTCTTCTTACGCAATACACTGAGGGGGAGATGTGGTCATTTAAAGCAATTAGTTCTTTATTCCCTTTGAAATATGGGAAATTCAAGCACCACCCTTCCCACAGCCACTAGAACAATGATGTCAGATTTCGTGGAGGATTTAGGGCTCTATAAAAGACCTAAGAAAGCACAAAGGAGTGTGGGCTGGGAAAGGAATGGTTCAGAATGGAGGTGGGTTGACAGCTGTTACGTTTTGCAGTTCTATGAAACAACTTGATTCATTCTCATTAGCTGCATTAACCCACCATTTCTTCTCAAAAGCAACAAAGAGAAACCCTAATTAGTGTTTCAGCATCTTGCCGTGTGTTAGTGGAGCCTGTGTCATCAGGTATTTCAGTCCACTCTTACTGAATTGATTACCACTTCAGTTCTTGGGACTGGATAGCTTCAAAAGCTTAATTTGGGCTGAAATAGATAAAATAGATATGCTATTATTACAGGGGTATCTGAGAACAAGTGATGTCCAGGCAGGTGCTGTTGGAGTGGGGGGTTGGAATAGCTTCTTAGATTTAGCAATAAATATTGGCATATTGTCATTTTAATTCAGACATTTCTCTGGGAACATAAAGAGTCTGTTCCAAACATTTGCTTTAAGTTCCCATAATGCCGCCTCCTTAAACTGGTATATTGAATTATTATTTCTGCTAGAAAATTAAATGGTAAATTAGTAATAGCAATGAGAACAAGCTGACATGCTCATCTTGCTAAGATAAAAAGAGAGAAATCCTGAAGAGCACTAAGTCCATAGATTGCATCTATATTGTAACACAAAATCTCTCGGATGGTTTCATATGGTCCTTCTGTTCTCGTTTCATTGTCCCCCAGTACAGGATCTTGTTCTGGTAAGAGTATGCTGACCAGTATCACAATCTTTGCCTGAAGAGGTGATGTTGCTGCATTCATGGTGTCCATCTGCCTGTTACCTCCCATATCTTTCTCCAGGTTTGAATCTGCTGGCTGACTCCAGTCAAATGAGGAAAGCATGTTTAAAAGACATTAACATGTAATGAATTTGGTGAAAATCAGCATCTGGATGAAGGAAGATGCTCTCTTGCCTCTGAAAGGTGGAATGAAGCTCTAGAAATACATACCACGTTATCTAGATGCAGCAGGCAACACTAATGCCTGCCATAGGTATGAAACAGACGCCTACAGTGGAGTCCTGCATACCCTCTCTTTTGTCCTAAGGTTGCTGCTGTCAGACCCAAACTTCCATCCATTCTTATACCATAAAAACATCAGTAGTTCTGATCAAATGGGAGGAATCAGCATGGTTTTTGTAGCAATAATTCAAATCAACTTGAATGCTTTTGAGGAATCACTGGTTATATGGAAAAGGGTGATCTGGTGGATAGCAGTGTTTCTGGAGTTTTAAAAAGGTTTTGACAGAATCCTGTATGGAATTACTCTGAGCAGTGCCACTGTGAAGAACTATAGAAGTATTTCAGTAACTAAATGACTGGGCATGGAAAAGTCAGACTAAATTCAGTGTTATTAAACAAAGTCATGTGCTGAGCAAAGGCACTACAAACTATGCAAACACAGCTTGGTTTCTAAATGAGCCATTTATTCAAGAAACCAGTTCTGGAGTTAATGTGCGGAGTTTTATAAGATCAATGTAAGGCTCAGCAGCTGTCAAGGAAAACCCTTAGGAGAAGAATGTTAACTGAAAGCAAAACAGAAAATAACCCACAGGTCACTGTGCAAACCCTGGCTGTACCAAATACCCTGCTCTAGCCATTCCTCAGCCCAAAATCAGCAGAAAAGGCAACAGACAACATCAGTAAGGATGATCTGAAGCCTGAAACAGCTTCATATGTTGGAAGGCTAAGCAGAATAACACTATCCTCTGTCTTCTTGAGACAGAAGACTATTATCCTGTCCAGCAGAGGATACCACACAGGTCTGTGTAATCATAAATGGTCAATAGCCTCATTATTTCTCATATATGAGAACTCACGGGCATCACACAAAATACCAGGTAATATCTTTCTGGCAAACAAAGGGAACAACTTTTCTCACTGTGCATGAATGAGAAAATGCAGCTGCAGAACATCAATGCCAAAGCATAATGAGCTTAAAAAGCAGATGAAGGAGGGGATGAAAACCCGATTTAGCACTATTAAATGTGACAAAATAGCCTGTGACTCAGGACGTCTGTCTGTGAGCTGCACAAAATGGGAAGTGTGCAGAGGGGAAGTAAAATTGTATGAATGCCCAGTTCTTAGTCTTTAGTTCTTCATTTTAGTCTTGTCACAGGAAACTGTTCTTTCATGTTTCTGCAGTAAAGACTGAGGTCAGCCTTAGAGAAACTGAAAGCTTTCCTAGAAAAAAAAGAGATGTTTGCATGGTCTGGAAATAGAAAAAGGCACAGAGGCTGGGAATGGAATGGAAAAAGAGGGGAATATCTACAGTCTGAGTGCAGCAGCTGATGTGCTGCAGAGCTGTGTTCAGCAGTGAAAGCACATCAAGCTGTTACGCGCTCTGTCTGCTTGGTAACATCTCTGGTATGCCTGACACCACCCCAAATTCTCTTTCCTCCCAACTTCCCATTTCAAAATGCCCTGTTGTTCAGAGGTATTTGTTTGCTGGGGATTACCAGAGTGGCTCTGACCCAGTTTCTGTTGATTTCAGTGGCTGCCAGGCCTCCTGCTGATACCATTCCGGATGCTGATGACCAATCCCTCACTCAGACAAGGAGGCTGGAATCTCCAAGGACAAGTGTTTTTCCAGCCATGTCTCATCAGACCTTTGGGTGAGCAGATTAATTCATAGGACAGTTATGGGATTTGAGGATGCATTTGGCAAAGCCAGGAAAGCATGAATCAGATTCTGCATTCATCCACTGCAGTACTGCTGAAAAAGAAAACACATGGGGGCTGCAAATAGTGGTATCGCTGTGAGGATGTAACAGTTAACACTACTGCATTGTCCTGCAGAGCTCTCTTTTGAGATTACAAACTCTCTTTTCTGTTCTTTTTGTTCAAGACAGATTCTCTTTCTCGCTTGATTTTTTTAAGCCTCCTTAGTTCTTTCACCCACCCAGTTCTTGGTACTTTGCCCAACAGAAGGGCAGCTTCTGGCTTTATTCTAAATAGGGCTCAGTTTCCACTGGGCTTAGCCTTTAAGTTACAATATACAAATGTGGCAAAAGTGACTTTGCCCTCTCCTTGGGGTTCCTCTGGATTTCCAGTCCTATTGTGTTCCTTAATTAGAGCATTCCTTCTATCCTAAATGGCCTTTTTGACAGTTACAATTGCAAGAGGTTGTTATGAAGCCTTGAGTTACAGTCATTGTTTCACCTTGAACTGTACTTAATGGGACACCTGACTAGAATAAACCCACCAATTTACAGTTCCTTAAATTCCAGTTTTAGTCCCTGACACAGACACAATTATCCCTGTGTTACTAGGACATGGGCACAACCAACTTGTCACATTAGCCCAAATGAATGCTATTTATCATTCATGTTTCATGTGAGCCTCTCCCAGGTTTGTTCATCTGCTGCTTGTCTCCGTAACACCCCCTGAGAGAAGCTGCTGCTTTAGAGGTGTGCCAAAAAGTCTACTGTGCAGATTCAATGCATAAAAGCCTGGGGCCAGAAGCAAAGTATGAATCATTCTTTAGCAGGAGAGAAAGGATTGGTGGCTTCAGGGAATGTTGAAGTGAGTTTGCCTCTCCTCCAGAATTCATAAATACTTAATGTCTCTGATCCACACATTGAAACAGTGAACACAAAATCCTCCTAAAGAGTTAAAGCCTAAACAACCACTTGAGCAAAGGCTGTGATAAACACAATTATTTGTGCTGAATGCTGCTTGAAACAAGATGGAAAACCTGAACAAGGATTTTTGGCTGTTACTTGATTTATCCTGTGTTGGGAAAACAGATCTTATACTTTTTTCTTTATCTTTTTAGATAGACACTGCCATTTTCTTCTCCTAACTGGAACAACATGGAAGACCTTATATGTTCAGCTAATGCCTAATTCAAAAGTGGAGAGACTGCAGATATTTTAGGATGAGTAGTTCACAGCTTCCATCCATCAGTGAGATCCAAAGGGGTTTTGCAGGCTCTTCTAAAAGAAAATACAGTTTTCTAAAGCAAAGCAGCACTCTGCTGTGTGTGATACCCCACTGAAGTCAACAACAAGTGGGATACTATCAAACAAGTTGGTATTTCACAGTCTGTTCCTATTTTGAAAGATAAATCCTGCCCAGAGAAGTTACATAGGATTGCCTTTTAGCTCACGTAAGAACTGGAAAGAGACTAAAATGAGAGAACTGACAACTGCAGATGAAGATGCAACGGATGCATTTACCACTGCAAATAAAAACACCATCATCTACTCAAGCCCTTAAAGTGAGGTTTGCTACAACTCAGCTTTGGCAACCACAGAGTAGCTGCGTGAAACAGCAGTGTCCATGGTGAGCAGTGTTGCCATGGGACAGTGTTGCTCTGATTTCCTAGAAGAGCTGGATCACTCGTGTTGACCTTTGCGAGTTCACTGTCATCACATGCTCCTCTGCAGCTGATTTCTGTTTGGCAGGGCTATGCGACAGAAAAAGCCACCTCAGTGCCTCAAGAGGAGAGAAAAAAAGTCTCTTTCCCCCAAGTTGGATGCATTTATTTCATATCCAAAGAATTGTTATTTATTCCAGATAGCTGCAAGTAATTTGGAGAGAAATCAGCAGGAAACTCCTATAATGAGGCTTAAGTCTATCATATTTTTTCCCTGCAGGCATAACAGTTTCCAGAGATATATTCAGGAGTTTCAGATATGTAAAGGAAACAGACTGTCAAAGCCAGATTCTCTTGTGTGGATTTAAGACAATTTTGCTTTCCATATCTTAGTCAATACGACACCTAAAGAAGAAAGCCAGGGAATGGAGGGGGAAACAAATTTTGCTATAAATTAATTTATTTCACCAAGCTGAATTTTTCTTCTCCTCTTACAGTTACTGTCCAGTCTTGTAAGAACAGGAACCCACCAACTTTAGCTGGGAAAGAGTGAAGGCCAAACAATATCTTGTGATATAACTGAGGATGGATTTAACTGTCATAAACAGAACCGCTGAGAAGGTAAAAGATAGCAGTGTTACCCATATTCAGTCAGCCTTGTAGGTAGTAAAGTTGTACAGATCATACAGGTGTGATAATATTTTAATCCCTTCACAAGTGCCTTTTGTTTATGTTTAATGTAGGCTAAACTGAGAAACATTCCACTTCTGTTGGAACGTGTATCTAAACAGGCATTACAGAAACAGAACAGCATCTGGGCCACTCACTACAAGAGAGACACTGAGGTACTGGACAGGGCCAGAGAAGGGCAACGGAGCTGGTGCAGGGCCTGGAGCACAAGTGTGATGGGGAACAGCTAAGGGACCTGGGGGAGCATTGGAACAGGCTGCCCAGAGCAGTGGTGGGGTCACCATCCCTGGAACTGTTCATACACCATGTAGGCAAGGCCCTCAGTGCCATGGGTTAGTGGTGGCTTTGGCAGTGCTGGGGAATGGTTGGACTTGATGATCTTAAAGGCTTTTTCCAACCTCATTGATTCTATGATTCAGTATATGTGCTTTAGGTGATGCTGAACCACCTCCCCATCCAATCTGAAACATGCAATAGAGTATTTAGGCAGCCTTACTTTAGGGACCTAAAATTAGTTCCTCTGAATCACGCTTCAGAAGAACCTATTTTTGTCCCATGGGATACAGAAAACTTAAGTTCTTCAGCACCTCACTCAGATCCTGCAATCACTCTTGCCCCATGCTCCAAATAGATGTAGTCTCTGTCAAACAGAACTTTGTGCAATAAGTGTGCTTATGAGTTGTAGTCTTATTGACTACTATTGAGGTGCAACATATTTTTCCTCAATAAAGTAAAGGAGGTCATATGTCTCTAGGTGAGATATATCTAGGTACAAACCAGCACAGATACGTTGTTTTTAAAATCAGTGTTTCTATTTCTTTGGCTTAAAACTACTGATTTAAATCACACTCCTGTGTTTCAGAAGATGGGTTAGAGTGACTAATCTTACTACCATCTTGCTCACACAACTGCAGTTGACTTCCTAGGGGCACAGTAGGTGTAATTACTGCTCATCCCTGTTTATACCATGCAAGGAACTGCTACTACCCAAAATCTGTAGAGCCACCCAGTTTCCCAGGGACAGGGAATTAAAGGCTTTCACAGCAGGCTGCAAGTCCCCATGCTGAAGGGATGGAGCAGTTCCTTGCAGTGAAAATGCCCTTGTTAGTCTGAAGATTTGCAGCCAGGAATCACAGATGCTTCTTCCTGGAGAAAGGAATTTCCTGCCATCTTGCCTGAAAGCTGGTGAGCAGAATGGCAGCAGCTTTTTGACTCTCTTTGGCACCTTCCAGTGCCTGCTTTGGATGAGTGACCAATTTAGAAACCCAGGGATGAGAGGAAGTCTGAGGATCCTCATGACTGACACCACCAAAAAGCAAGCTATTCTTTGTTTCTGCAATGGGGCTCTTGGAGGTATGGGGGTCACAGACCAGGGTAAGTGGGATGCAGGTAACATGAAGCTCCTGTTGGACTGGGTTTTCTTTTACAAACTGTAAAATATATGGAAGTTTCTCTCTCAAAAAGTGAGTCAGGTTGGAAGGGACAGATGGGTCACTAAGCAAAATGTCTATATAAGAAAAGTAGTAGCTTGGGGGCCAAGAGAGCATAAACCATGGTTAAGGCTGAGTGACAAGTTCCCTGAATAGCAGTGACAGTGCTGGTGGTAGCTGACCAAAGGCAGCAAATCATCCAAGGAGGGAACGTGTGAACACTTCACAACGTGACTTACGCCACCGCCAACAGTCCCCATTTCTCATGAATGGGAAGATTGTATTTTCTCTTTCACAACTACAGCACTTGGATTCATCAGTTCTCAGGATTTCATGCCAAAACCAACAGGTTGCAGCCATATTTGGGCTGCTCTCAATTCATATTCCTCCTACTTAATAAGAGATGGAAAAGCTGTGGATGCAAGTAGCACAGACGGGTTCCTTGTTAGGAAAGCGAGCCTCTTGTCATATGACTGGGGAACCAAATGTGCTTTTACACACTCTGCCACCAAAACACATTGCAAACTTGAGGAACAAACTTATTTTTGACTCACTTGGCAAAACATGTCATTTTTTTCCCCATTTAAGTAGCAGAATGCCAGTGTATGGGGGGAAAGGGGAAAGATTAGGGTTTTAATAACTAGTAAAAGGAATTAGTAAATCAGCTATGCAGGAAACACTTTCAGAATGCAAGTACTATATGTGTACTTACTGTGCTGGATTCAGAATCAATTTTTTCCTCGTTTCAGCCTCTGAAAATCATGTTTCTGAGACCACAGAGGGCAGTTTAGTGCAGTGACCACCTCAGGAGCTGACAGCACTCTGCATGTTCTCCCCCAAAAGGTAAGTGTTTAATTCTGGTGGAAGGCAGTGGTGTGTCTGGGGTATGACAGTCACAGGTCGGCTCAGACCAGACAGGCTCCCTGAGGTCAGAGGTGCTTGTTCACAACGCAAAATACTTAGAAATGTGTGAAAAATCAAGCCTCAGTGTCAGGACTAGAAAGAGCAGAAGCTCCAGAGGTATTTTTCTATGATAATGTAGCTATAAAGCAACAGAATAGAGCTCTGAAGTTCCTTCTGGATCTGCCAGCTTCCATTTCAGAACACTGACTGTCAGTTTTTTTTTTTTTTCCTCCAAGTCCAAACAAACTCTGCATGCTTCAGATTTAATCAATGTTTTGCACATTGGAAATGGCTGTTCAGACAAACCACTGTTACCATTAAATTGGAAAGAAGAATTGCCCACATGACAGAAAATAAGGAAATGATTCAGACTTTTCAGTTTCAAGGCACATGTATTTTCACTTATCCTTAAACATGAGGGGTTTTATTACAGGTTCTAGGCCCATTATCCATTTTATCCATGTCTGAACTGACGATAAGACTGTTTTGTAGTGTTCAGCTACTCCTGTTTTCACCACCAAAACACTAAAATGATAACGAGGGATGTGGAGCTGCTGGAGTGAGTGCAGAGGGAGCCATGGAGATGCTGTGAGGGCTGGAGCAGCTCTGCTCTGGAGCCAGGCTGAGAGAGCTGGGCTGGGGCAGCCTGGAGAAGAGAAGGCTCCTGAAGGGGAGACCTGAGAGCAGCTCCAGAGCCTGAAGGGGCTGCAAGAAATACTAGTGAAGTCCAAGTATTTTGTACTAATATAAAGAGTGACAGAGATGAGATTATGTTATACAAAATCTTCAGGGAATGGAAGGGTGTTTCAGAAGTATTGAACACTGAATGGAATCGCTGTGATTCCTTCGGTAAATCAGAGTAGCATGACTCTGCTCATAACGGCTTATGTGCCTATAACACACAGGATTGTTCCCTGTGTCCCCTGCAACATGGACTGGAAATAAAAATAACACCTGATCCCAAAGGCATGTAGAAGATGGTATAAACGTGCTCTTCAGGAAAATGCCATGACAGTATCTGCACACTGTGGGCACTGCTGGCCATGCCTAAGCTTCCTGTGGCATTTCTCCTCTTCCTAATGTGTTTTCAGCACTTAGTTAGCCATGTTTGGGGGATTTTTGTAATATTAAGCAGAGCTACTTTGAGCATAAAGATCAGAAAACAGGATTTGCCCTTGTCATTAGCTTTAAATCTAATCAGGGAGCAGCTGTTGCACAGTCACCATGTCATTCTTGAGGGGAAATTGTATTAATTATATTTAGGACAGCTGGGGATGACTATCAGCACTGCTGGCACCGTTATCACACCCCCACGACGAGCTTCATCCTGCACCCACGGGCTCGCAGCAGGACCAGGCACCATTGAGCTCTTCTGGCTGGTGGTGTTATTTCAAGTAAGCCTCTTAGAGAGCAGCACAATCCGCTGTCAAACCCTGTGGCCAATTACGTCCAGCGTAAAGTCCATCCCCACTGAACATTACAGCAAGCTTTTGGGGGTGAAGAGTGATGCTTGGACTTTGTCTGGAGCTCTGCTGGGAGGTGAATGGTTTTTTTTTCTGAAGTCGGTGTTTGCATGGAATGGTTTGTGTTGAAGGGACCTTGAAGCTCCAACAGCTCCAACCCCTGCCACGGGCAGGGACCCCTTCCACTAGAGCAGCTTGCTCCAAGCCCCTGTGTCCAACCTGGCCTTGAACACTGCCAGGGATGGGGCAGCCACAGCTTCTCTGGGCACCCTGTGCCAGCGCCTCAGCACCCTCACAGGGAAGAGCTTCTGCCTAAGAGCTCAGCTCAGTCTCCCCTCGGGCAGGTTCAAGCCATTCCCCTTGGCCTGGCCCTAGAGGCCCGTGTCCGACAACGCTCTCCGGGTTACTTCGGGCACTGCCAGCCCCCCGGCGGCAGCCCGTTAACCACCCCCAAGGACCCGTTGCTCTCGCCCGTTGCTGTGTTACCGGGGCCGCGAGGGGGGGGGGTGTGACCCGACCCATCCGGTCCTTCCGCCGGAAGTGATCTGCGCGCGGCGCCGTTGCCCGGTGTGTCGTCACGGCGCGGCGCGGAGAGCGGCGGGTGCGGTGCGGCGCGGAGCGGGCAGCGGCCATGGCGCCGCCGCCGCCGCAGAAGGAGATCGTCTACAACAAGCTGCTGCCCTACGGCGAGCGCCTGGAGGCCGAGGCCGCCCGCTTCCTGGCGCACATCAAGGACAACCTGGCCCGGGCCGTGCAGCTCCAGGAGCTCTGGCCCGGGGGGCTCTTCTGGACCAGGAAGCTCTCGACGTGAGTGCCCGCTGTCCGCTCCCCCTTTGCTGTTCGTTGGGCCGGGTTGCCGCGGAAGGCAGGTTCCCCCCATAACGGCTCCGCCCTCCGCCGCTGAGCGCCGGCCGGGCGCCCGCTGCCCCGTGCTCGCCCCGAGCCCGGGCAGTTTCTCTGGGCCCCGTGGTCAGCAGCGGAGAGCCCGCCCGCGGCTTACACAAGGCTCGCCCGGGGAACGGGGGCAAAGGTGGCTGCGTTGTCACTGCTCCCTTCTCGCCTCGGGAGCTTCCCCAGTCGGGTCTTGTGCGTTCGGTTGTTGCGCTTGTCTTCTTTAA